ATGTTTGGGAACTTCAGGTGTTCATGTAAAGATGTTATCGTAAGCATTTATTTTCTATCACCTCTTATGTGGGGCAATCCATTATTACTTTTAATCTTCTTTAGGCAGTATTCCATGATTTATGACAAAGAGATGTCTGCAGTCCACATCTTAAGGATATTTAATCCGTCTAAACGTTTGACTTAGTACAACAGTTTGTATTACGCAGGCCCATTAAAGCAATGGGTCTATTGATTTATATTTCAGGACAACACTATTACATTAGCAAAGTGATAGACGGATAAAACTGAATAACTGGATTGAGTAGTAAATTTGAGGTGTCTACTGAGAGAGTGCGTTAGTGTTTGTAGATAAGTGTTTTGGATTTATGTGTGGGAAATGTATGGTTTTTTTTTATATGTGTGTTTGTGAATATGTGTGTTTGTGGATTTGTGTGTTTATAGGTTTGTGTGTTTTACTTGTTTGTGTTCGTGGTTCATTTGAGTTTTGATTTTGTGTGTATGTGGATTTGTGTGTTTGTGTGTTTGTGGATTTGTGTTTGTGGATTTGTGTGTTTGTGGATTTGTGTGTCTGTGGATTCGTGTGTTTGTGGATTTGTGTGTTTGTGGATTTGTGTGTTTGTGGATTTGTGTGTATGTGGATTTGTGTTTTGTGGATTTGTGTGTTTGTGGATTTGTGTTTTTGTGGATTTGTGTGTTTGTGGATTTGTGTGTTTAAGGCTTCGCGTTTTTTTTTTTTTTTTGGTTTAGTGGATTTGTGTGTTTGTGGATTTGTGTTTTTGTGGATTTGTGTGTTTGTGGATTTGTGTGTTTAAGGCTTCGCGTTTTTTTTTTTTTTTGGATTCGTGTTTTTGTGGAATTGTGTGTTTGGGAATTTTGTGTTTTTTTTATTTGTGTGTCTGTGGGTTTGTGTGTTTTTTGTTTTTTTTGAGGATTTGTGTGTTCGTCCATTTGTTTGTTTGTGTATTCGTGTTTTTTGTGGATTTCTCCGTTGATGAATTTGTGTAATTTTGTTTTGTTTCTTTTTTTTTTTTTGACTGTGTGTGTGTTGATTTGTGTGTTTGTTGATTCGGTGTTAGTGGATTTGTATGTTTGTTGATTCGTGTTTTTTGTGTATATGTGTTTTTTGTGGAAACAGATTAAACGTCACCTTATAGACCGGGCTTGTATTTTAGAACTTCATTAATGCAGTCACTGGCACAGCCGGGGCAATCAGCTAATACTGTTTATAAGAGGCGTCACTCTATCGCCATAAATCTACTTCCTTAATTTGACTTGTCTTACATTTAACCATTCTGCGCAGTACAGATTTGATGTTGACCACAGCAGACGCTCAGACAAATTTGCTTCGGTCTCAAGTTGTGTTAACTTGAATGCTGAGATGTTTCACAGGCAGATACTCTGGATTGTCGCTACTTTTCTACTGAGGATCTCAGAACAGAGACGTAAGATATATTGGAAAACTATTTTAAAGATATTAGATTGTTGTATTTGTTAACAAAATGGAATGAAAGACTTTTGTTAACGAATAGATCCCTACTAGGGTATTATTATTTACATGTGTGTCTTATTATTTTTATATCAGGTTATTGAATAATTCATGACCATGTTAACAGAACCCAACTGGCTTCATTTTAAAAATGTTCAAATATATTTCATTTTGTACATTCTACTCGAGGCTCGTCCCTATAAACAAACTATACACATTCTACACAAGGCTCGCGTATATAAAACACTTTGTACATTCTATTTGTGACTCGTCTATATGGAAGATTTCGTACATTTTACACGAGACTAGTCTTCATTGAACATTTAGTACATTCTACACGAGGCAAATAATTCTGTACAGTCAGTAGTATATATACATATAAATACATACCTATATATATATATAATTTATATATAATATGTTTATATGCATATCAATTTAATAGCAACAATGTACAATGCATATCAATTTTTTTTTAAACAGTGTGCATATGCATATCAATTTAATAACAACTGTATATATGTATTTAAAAATAATTAAAACACTATTTTGCATATCAATTAAATTTCAACAGAATATGTGCATTTCAATTTATTTGCAACAGTAATTCTTCTATTGCTTTATCAAAAACATGGTGTACGCTCAATGAATGATACAACATCGAAGGATAATTTAATTATAAAGCAGTTTATTGATTTCATAAGTGATGAGTGTGCACATCATGTTTGCCTTGAAATGTGTTGCATTTATTTTTTGCGATGAAAATGGCGCAGTCCTATCCCGATGTCGCATAGTTGTCAAAAATTCCTTTTGGTGTTTATTATTTATCGCTTCATCTCTTTAAAACAACCAAACACACGCTTTTGGGGTATTAAAGGATCTCACTGTCGCTCCCGTAACCTACTTATTAAATGACCAAGCTTTGACCCCCCAGGTGTGTCATAGGTTTGTCAAGTAGTGGCTAGGCCGTGAAATTTCGTGCAAGATAGTTTGCCAAGTCATTCTGCGTCACCCCATTATGCCCTGTGATAAACTGCAGAATTACTTTGCCACCATTGGCATGGACACTACCTACTATCTCCAGAATTGCACTTTCTATCTTGGTCTCCCACATTCTCGAGAGCAGAGTGTGGGTTGGTGAAGACCATGGTTTCGGAGAAATGTGTCCTCTTCTCTAGGCGTTAGTCGACTCTCTTAAGAGCGACCAGTATTGCTTCTAACTCGGGATAGAAGCTTGCTCTTTTTTTTCCACTGGGCCCTGATAGCTCCTTGAAGCTATTTTCTTTGCATATTATATTGTGGCACCGGGACCTCAGCGTTTTTCCCCAACGAAGCATGAGTCGTCCTTGAAGATTTTGACCAGCTTGTCTGGGTAGGCTTTAATCCCCTTTTCAATGCTTTTGGGTAATTCTAAGTCTCCCTGGAGACTGTGGACCCTGTCAATAAAGGAGTGTCTTTTTAATCTGTTTTAACCAACTTTTCCTATAACTGAAAGCAAGTTACCTGTCTCTCTGCATCGCCCTACAGTCGTTAGGATGGCCTTTCCCCGCCTGTTATGGAGTGGTTCAAAGTCTGTCTTTGATGTTTTGCAGGAGCTTTTTGTCGCTCCCTTTACCTGCTTATTAAATGACACAGTAATACCTTGACAGTTGGCTCTTTTAATTTGCAACCACCTGTGTGTGAAACTGCATTTTTTTTTCTTACAATTTGATGCCAAAACTAAATTCCAAAACAGATTATACTGGAAAAATAATATGAAATTTTGCACTGGACAAAACGAAACCAAACCTAAACGAAATAGTTCAGGCAAAGCAAATGAACCAAATCCCATGAAAGAACATTTGATGACTAAGTCTTCCCATTGATAAATAAACAAATGTTTTTCAATTTTAAAAAAAAATTATTATGAAGGATCAGCGAGCATTAAAAATTAATTTGAAAAAAAAGCTATCACGCCAGATATCCTTAAAAAAGTTTGAGAACCACTGGATTAGAGGTAATATCTGAACAACTCCAACCCTGTCCAACAGCTTACTCTGTGGGAGCTGTATGAGAAGTTTTGCTACCACAAATATATAGAGTTATAAATTTGAACTAAAAATATAAAGACCACAAAAAGCTCAAATAGTATTCCTTTAAATCAGACCATTGGGCCATTGATATACAATAAACTAAATTGTATATTCAAAGATAGTTTTTTTAAGTATAAATTAATTTATGTCAATGTGTTTCAGGTATTTCTGCTTGCAGAAGATGCATGTGTTTTATTGAGCCAGCAATCATACCTCCAAGTAAACCATATATTTTTAGTCCACAACACGTTGACCCCGACCTCTGTAGCCACATATTTCTATCTAATGTGGGACTTGATGGTAACAAAATAAATATAGCTTCCTGGCATGCTGACAAGAGACTGGCCAAACTGTAAGATAATAATATTATCTCGCTTTTCTAATTATATTTTAAGATATCTTTTTAAACAAAACATTTTGATAAATTAATATATATATATATATATATTTAAACTTGACTGGGTGGCAATCATATAGTCAACCCCACAATATAATGTAACAGACATAACCCCACGCTGTAATGTAACACACATAACCCACGCTGTAATGTAACACACAGAACCCACGCTGTTTTGTAACAGACAGAACCCACGCTATAATGTAACACACAGAACCCCACGCTGTAATGTAACAGACAACCTTGTGCTTGAGGGTCACTCTTGCAGCTCTAGTAAACCCCAGGTCAAAACCTTACACACCCATGAATCAACAGGTTTACACGTAGCACGGCGATTGACCAAAGCTTTAAAAAACAGAATTTCTTTCCGGTACGTAGCTAATTGACTCTATTTCTTCGCAGCCCTTTCTTAAACAGTGTTGCCCTTTTTTTCAGAACTTTGCATACAGCAAATTTAATTCTTTACACCAGAGCTTAATTATTTGACCGGTCTCATCTGGGTACATTTTGTAATGGCTTAATCTCGGCGGTTTGCAAGAAAAATTGCATTTATATTTCTTTGCTTGTCTAGAGTACATATTTGATGTCTGAGTAACAGGCGATTATTTTTAAGAAGTTTTTTAATTGAATGAATGGGGGGACATCATTCAATGGATCCGGTAACGGTGACATCACTAGAATAAAACAAACAATTGTATTATATTAGCTCACGTGACAGAATCAAGGATCACGTGACAGAATCAAGGCTCACATGACAGAATCAAGTAAATATCTCTATTTTAGGTATTTTTAGTTAAATTTCTCCCGATGTTCTAATCTCTTAAATAGAAACAACGTATGCAATATTATTATTTTGAGTCATATCATTATTGTTAAACATACTGCAATGCGTTGCAATTTGAAATATACACAGCATTTGAAACACTATGCAACTGACGACATATCTTATATCACTAGGGTTAAACTTACAGCCATGCACTTAACAAATACATTGAAGCATTGAGTTTAATCTAAACAGCTATATATATTATATAAGAATGAGTTAGAGTCACATAAGACCAAAAGAGTGATATGATTAAAGTACTTCGGATTCCTTAAAAACAATCATAGTTACTTTTTATTATTTTACGGAAATCGAATAGGCCTAAATTTACATGCGCAAAAAAATATTATATTTTCACTTTCATTTTATCAAAAATTTAAGTATTATTATAAATTACAAACATTTTTAAAGTAACAAATGATGAATTATTTTAAGCATTGAAGCCAAAGTTTAAAGTTATGAAAAAAATTATTAATCAAAATATTATGATCTAAGAATTGCATCTTAATCACATTTATTGGGAAAACCCAAATAACTGCTTTTCTTAGTGTGTATTTTAGTGCGTTGTTAATATTGCGATATAAAAATATAAGTCATTTGATCTAAATAATTACGCAAATGACATCATAGCGTGATTGCCTATTTTAGCCACAGCTCTAAATGAGTTTAATGTTCTATAATCGTGTGTGACAAAATTGATAATGTATTTTCCCCAAATAAGAAATAAAATTAATACTTAAAATAGATTGCTTTTGAAATTGCTAAAATTTTCTCAAATTAAATATAACTTTAGCTTGGTATTTTTAATATTTAAAACGTTTTTACTTGTATTTTTTTTTTAAATATACTTTAATGAAAATTAAATAATTGTGAAAAAACGTTACCTTTTAAATATACTTTTAATACGCAAATGCCGTTTAATGGAATCACTGCAGCGAAACTACATTTCCAAATAGCCTTCACTAATACACTTATCACTAATATAAATAAGAAAAAATTCATTTGGGGACGAGGCGGAGTAATACGATAGTTTCATTAGCTCACATTAGTGGGTGGGTGGGTGGGTGGGTGGGTGGATGGATGGGTGGATGGATGGGTGGGTGGATGGGTGGGTGGATGGATGGGTGGATGGATGGATTAAGAAACATTAAGAATCAATTCGATCTGACTGTGATCTGGTCTTATGCAGATTTTTTGTTTAAATTTTTCATTCCTACACTTTCCATTGTCCTGCTAAGATTTAAATTGAAGAGACACAGACCTTTCTGAAGTAAAAAAGATTTGTGTAAATGTATGTATATTTTGTTATACAGCTCTGAACACTTGAAAGACTTAAAACTGAAGAAGCCAAAACTTAAAACTTTGCTAACGGTTGGTGGCGTCTTTCCCGTTTCTGCACTATTCTCTAAGATGGCAGCCACTGGAGCGGGACGCAAAGAATTCATAAATTCACTGATCCCATTTGTACGAGAACAAGGCTTTGATGGCGTGGATTTAGACTGGCTTTATCCGAAACTCCATGGAGGCGGACCAGCCGATAAAGAGACATATGTTGACTTAATTAAGGTGAATTGAAAGTTGTATAATCAAAATCAATTTATGCAATACAATAATGTTTCCCCTCATGTAGATTTATATCTTTAACCAAAGCTCTGTTTACAAGTTGAATTTTGAGCACTGTATCAAACATGAGTCTTAATTGCCTCGCCTGATAAGTAGAGCAGTGAACTTAACTTTTGTGTAGCTATATTATTATATTAAACTCTATGCGGTTTTGTGTATTCGTGTGATTGTGTGTTTGTGGCATTGTTTTACGGTTCAAGACTAGAAAAAGTACTGAACCTGTTGAGGTGAAAGCTTGCAAAGAGGTTCTGTATAATGCTGGAATAAACAAAGATTAGGTACATTTTTATGTCCGACCTCACTGCGACCCACGCTTGCCAAAATTTCGTTTTTCCTCTTATATCAGCCATACATATGGGAACGTGTCAGCAAGAGTGTAGTTATATGTCTTGATACATCAAAAAGTTAGTAGTAGAATTAAAATAGGAGAATAAACTTAAAATCAAATGTAGTACGTGCTGTATTGACTTGATTTGTCTCACCAAATTCTGAGATAAATAGGGTGACCAAAATAAAACATGGACATATAATCTGCATTGTATTGCATCTCCCCTTAACAATATTCCATTAATTGACACGCTTTATTTGCTATATTTATTTTCTAAAAGATTGCCTCAGTATAAATAATTGCCGCTTGCTCCATGCATTGTCTAGAAGATGGCCACAGCATTAACACTTGCCCTTTGCTCTATTCATACTATAGGAGATGGCAACGTCATTAACAGGCGTTACATGCTCTATTTACTATCTAGGAGATGACCACGGCATTGACACGCTTCACTTGTTCTATTTATTCTCTAGCAGATGGCCTCATCATTACCACTCTTCACTTACTCTATTCAAATTCTAGAAGATGACCACATCATTAACACGCTTCCCCTGCTCTATTCATTCTCTAGGATATGGTCATCATTAACACGCCTCACTAACTCTATTGACCCGCATCACTTGCTCTATTTTTTTCCCTAGGAGATGGCCACAGCATTAAAATGCATTACTTGCTCTATTTATTATCTAGGAGATGGCAACAGAATTCGAAAATGAATCTTCAAGCCGTGGCCTCAAAAAATTAATGCTCTCTGTTTGGGTTCCAAGGTCATCTGGGGGTATTGATTCGGGATACAATGTCACGGAGTTTGCAAGGTACTTAGGAATTATATTAACTATTAGACTCACAATAATAGATTGCTTAACTGAGTCACTAATCATCTCATAAAGTTACTTGACAAAACATGCATTCAAATATCGCCCTTCATAAGATCTCCAGTGAGTACGTTAACGTCAATAAACTATTTAATATCAAAATTTCTCACCGATTTTTACGCCGCATTTTTTTGCACCATTTTCTTTAAAGAAAAGAAAATATTCCCCACTAATCACGCTTGCGGTATTTGTAATGAAGAAGGACATTTAGCGCAGCTACGGGACTTCATTCAATGAAATAAGCGCCATCTGGTAGCATTAGTGCCAATTTTTGCACTGAAAAGGTATTTTAAGATAATTTTTTTCTCAAAGGCAGATCCTTCTCGAAAACTTCAAAAAACATTAAATTTCCCGTGAGATTTTGACGTCATTATTTAAAATTCTTAATATTGAAGTAGAATTTAGGCCTTCAATAAATGCTAGGTTTACAGAAATTATCTAAAAGTAATGGACGTTCAAAATTGATATTGACCCACGGTACTACTTGAGCGATCTTTGAAAAATATAATTACTTAACTGTTAGTTGAAATCAAAGCATAAATGAGTGATAATAAAGACATATAATTTCTAGAGTAATGATGGATACATTTGTACCCATATAAATCTTTAGTGACGCAAAGCTACGCGGTGACCGATGGGACACACGTCCCGGGGCGCCAGATTAGCGGAGGTTGCGCTAAATAGGTTTTGATGGCATCTCATGTTTGAAAATAATGGGTTACGAGTTGACGGCAGGCGGCGTAAAAATAAATCTCATCCCCTGACGACAAGCTCTCTACATACGCCCCTGCTAGAGGCGTCGGAATAGGACGAATGTATGATCAAAATGTGTGGCACTTGCTCTTTAGGTGGGAGATTTTATGACAAAAGCAGAGTTTGTATCATGCAAGGAGGATAGCAAAAATAGGTTGCCAATCATGGCGGCATTAATAATAGCTGCGTACCACGAGGCACTGTATCTATCGATCTCAAAATCGGCGACCATTTTCATCGGGAGGTAGGTCGGAACTTAAGGACGCTGGTGAATCGTGATGGGTGGAGTGGTCTGTGGAGCTAGAACCCCGGTGGAGTGGTCTGGGGAGCTAGAACCCCGGTGGAGTGGTCTGTGGAGCTAGAACCCCGGTGGAGTGGTCTGTGGAGCTAGAACCCCGGTGGAGTGGTCTGTGGAGCTAGAACCCCGGTGGAGTGGTCTGTGGAGCTAGAACCCCGGTGGAGTGGTCTGGGGAGCTAGAACCCCGGTGGAGTGGTCTGTGGAGCTAGAACCCCAGAGATTTTAATATTTTTTTTCAAAATCGACAGGTGTATCTTTTTGGTATACTTGAATTTAATGTATCTATTATATTTTTTGAACTGGTATGGACATTTTTAAAGTTTTGTGGGAGGAATTATGGCGGCCCGTGCCATACATGCACAAGCTTATAATCAACCCCATACTGTTAAATTGATCAGTGTTACATGAGGGGTGCAGCAAGCAAGGGTGCTAAACAATGTCGGGAGATTAATAATGCAGGTGTTCATTTTGGATCAAAATTGAAGTTGTTGTTCCTTTTACATCATTTAAAGGTGGCGTTTCTAACTGGGAAGTACCAAATTTAGCAATAATAATGATAAAAAAACAAGCTAAATTCAACACCAATGGGACGTAAACGAAATTTATTCAGGTTGTGTAACACTTAAGGGTACGCTTTTGTCTAAAATTATTCTCGTCCATTAAATTTTTATTGTCGGCAGTAAAGTATCAATTAAATTCAAAGTACATATTGAATTTTATTACAAATCTCCATTTTGTTTTGCAACATTATACACTGACATGCGAAGACACGGCAGATATCCCCGTTTAAATTTAGGCGTCAGTTAACCTTAGAAACATCTTGTGCACCTGGAGCCCTTACGACTCCAGAAAGCCTCGCATATTTAATCGGTTTAAAAATGATATCAGGATATTTTCTTAATTATCATCTTTCATTTCAGGGTAGTGAGGTGGGAGGAACAAAAATGTATTTGACCCGCTAACCTTGAGCAATAAAAAATTATATAACTTAAATTAGAAAGTTGCTTTTAAAAAAAAAAAAAATTACATTACAATTGGGGAAACCTATTTAATTAATAAATACATTTTCAAAAAAAAATTCAATCAAATAGGTTTACATCACTAGAAAGCTCTGCAAACATTATTTTATATGCTAATCGCATATGGAAAAAAGACTTACTTATTATAATTAGACGACCTCGTCTAAATATTCCCATATTTTACTTGAGCCAATATGAATAAAACATATTAATAATAAACTGTTTATTAGAAAGGTCTCAATAGTTTTATGTTGTTGTTTTTTAAATTGATAATTTGTATAAATCATATAATAACTACACAACTATTTTAAGAAGACATGAATTGATTTAAAAATACATTATATATTTAATCATATGTGATGTTATCTTATAAAATTTATATTTGAATAAAGTAGAAAGTTTCTAATATAATTTATGTTTAAAATTTGTAAATTACTATTTACATTAGTAAATTTACTATAACATTACTATAACTTTCCTCAGATAAGTTACAAATTGCCTCTTCGCATTAATTTTAAATATTTTAAACCTAATCTCCGGAAACTATTTTAAATAAAATCAAGAATTAAAAAAAAAAAATGAGTGCAAACTAACTAACACACATATTCTGGTGAAGGTCTGGGATTGCACTCTTATGACCCCAGCAAGTAAATTGGCTATCCACTCCATTTGATGCGCTGAACCATACAACATTTTCCTCACAAAGGGTCCTCCAACCACCCTGGCTCCCCTCGGGAGATCTAGTGAGGGAAATTCGGTCAACAGGTGCCACAGATTCTCAGGGACCAGGCTGCAATGTCGGAAGTTAGAATCCATATTGTTGTTTAGCCGCTAGAAATATGTGCCTAAGGGGCAGTGTTCGTTGCGCATCTGCATCACTAAGCTCTGCTATCTGCGGCATAAACCCCAACATGGGTCTTGTTTGCTAGGAGTCGAAAAGTTTGAAAAGATGGCTCCGACGGTCGTGTTGTCTGCCCATTGCCTGTACCATTTCGTCCTGAAATGGTCCGCCAGCCAGTTCTTAAATACCAAATATGACATTGGTACGTCTGGCTGAGGCTGGGCAGCCTCAGTTTTCGCCAGTGTGTCAGCTTTCTCGTTGCCACTAACGTTGACATGGCCGGGAATCCATTGCACTGTGACCTTGCCTCCTAGTTCACTGAGTTTGCACACGTCATCCAAGATGACGTCAACTATATGAGTGATGCCTTGTTCCTTTTTCAATATCTCAAGAGCAGATGTCGAGTCCGAGTACACGATCACATTGAGCCCCGCAAGATCCGTCTCTACTAAGGTGTAATACACTCTCTCTAGGGACTTTAAATAGCCTCCAGCTCCGCATCAAAATTTGATGCTACAGTTCCACAGAGCCATGGTAGTCCCCCTGCTAGATATAGTATGAGTGCACCATACCCAGAAGTCCTCTCTCTCAGATTGGCAGAGTCATCTGTGAACACCTTTACAGGTTTCTTGTAAAACACAGCTATGGTCTCCAGGGCAGACGCTTTCTGTACATTTTCAGAGCTACTTTTTGTTACCGATGCTTCGGTCGCGGTCAGAGGTATGGAGGGAAGTGTGAGTTCCGCATATGGCGGAATGACTGGGATAGAGGCCAGTCGCTCTCTATTGTGAGGCAGGTCGATTGTTCTTTCGAGCTCCATGACCTAGTGCATGAAAGAGGATCGCTTTAGTCTCCTGCCTGCCACACAGTTTGCCTGCATTTGAAACTCCTTATTTGTAATGGTTCTACATGGGCCAAGACTTCTACAGCAGCTGTGAGATGAATCTCAGAGCCTGATTCTGGATTCGGCCCAACATTTCCATTGCGGTCTTGGTAGCAAAGGCTTGGACTGTCATGCAGTAATCCATCACAGACATTACACTGCTTAGAAATAGAGCTCTAAGCGTTCTTGCGCCCGCACCCCATCTTGTGCAAGGCAATTTTGTCACCACATTAAGCTTGGCGGTTGCCTGCGAGCAGAGGTCCTGTAAATAAATTATGCATATGCACCTTTTGATCCAATTTTATTCCCATGTAAACCGTTTTTTTATCCCATTTGAACGCTACATCGCCCACACTGAGCTCAATCTTCTGTTAGAGAATGGTCCGCCAGAATAGACCATCTTCTCGGTGTTAATTACCTGGTTCCACCGCCACATGTACCTGTTGATAGCAGAAAGGTCTTGTAATAGCGTTTACAGTCGGTGGACATCCTTACCAGTGAATCAGATGACCAAATCGTCGACATACATAGCGGCACTAGTTAGGAAATTAAGTGGCATTTCATTGATAAAGGCTAGTAAAGGAGTGCAACTGAGGGCTGACCTTTTCGGGAGGCCTTCCTCAAAGGTTCTTTTCCATGAGGTTTCGTTGCCACGTTTGGTTTTGATTTTCCGGTTTGTAAGGAAACCGGCAACTCGCCTGTACTTATTGGAAGTTACTCCCATCTTTTGCAACGTCAAGAACAGACTGGACCTCCAAACTCGGTCATAGGCTTGTCGGAGGTAAAAAATACAGCCACCCTATGTGACTTTTTCTGGAGCTTATCTATGAAGGACTGGAGAAAGACGGAAGACCTTGCCTACAGGCTTAGTTCCCATGCGGAAGCCCGCCTATGCTGGGCCGAGGCTCTCGGTACTCTCCAGGTGCCCGTAGAGCCCCTGTTTAACCATACTCACGGCGACCTTCCCCAAACACGATGTTTGGGAAATTGAACGATAGCCAGTGGGTTGATCGAGTTGCTTGTGAGTGCAAACAGATGGGTCGCTTTGTTCAGAGTTATGACATGTAAAAAAGAAAAGCAGGTGGGAAGATATTAATCATTAATTAAGAATTAATTTTGAAAAGAATATAAAAATAATATTATTTTATTTAGGGAACTTTGTAACAAATGTAGCACATTTAAATAAAAGAAACACACTTTTGGTTTAGTAATAATTAATGAAACGTGCTATGTTTGTATGTACTCTTTAAATTCTAAAATAGAAACAAAGCATGATGCCAGCAAACAATTTATAACCAACACCTATCCTTATTTTAAAAGCCATGATTTTACGATGAACTATAATTTGAAGAAAAAAAAAGTGTACACACCTTTTTTATACTTGACAAACTAATATCAAAATTGTAGTCCTTTATAAATGTATTTTAATACTTTTTTTTTAAAGCATTAAACATTGTGGAGATGCAAAAAATGATTCAATACAAATACCGATATAAGCGAACAACAGGAAGTGACGCTTGAGGGGCCAGTACAAAATTTATAACTGATTAGCTTTAAATATACGGATCACTGAAATAATTGAGCAAAGTTAGATGTTATAGACTACACCAATTTATATGCCTTTTAAAATGTTTAAAAATGACAATTGTGTGCCTCGTCAATCTTGCATTGAAAGATTATAAGTAAGAAAATGTTCACACTATATCATCAGGCTACTAAAATATACGAGCTTCGTTGAATTGTAGAGCTTCTTGAACTCATACGATATATCTATTTTTAGTGCCACCTACATTTTTAGTGCCACCTACATTTTTAGTGCCATCTACATTTTTAGTGCCACCTACATTTTTAGTGCCACCTACATTTTAGTGCCACCTACATTTTTAGTGCCACCTACATTTTTAGTGCCACCTACATTTTTAGTGCCACCTACATTTTTAGTGCCACCTACATTTTTGAACCAGCATTTCGTCTGTTGCTCTTCAATTAAGTTTAGAAATTTGAAAAAATAAATTTTAGATATTTGCTAAAATGCTCTTGAATTATGAATTTATCAAAACATTTTACGGGACGATAACTACGTAAGCAGCGAGAATAAGCTAGGGAAAAATACATACCTTCAAGGACGTCACAAATTAAATGAGTTTTGCTCATGTCCTGCTAGTCCGGTGTTAACCCTATAACTTCAACAAAACCATGTTCTATAGTTTCATGACATTTTTAGAAATGTCAAAAATTGATCAAAAATGATAAAATCCCCAATTCCAAAAATTGAGGGACCATTACAGGTGTACATTTTCTAAAAGTAAATTAAACAACGTATTTAATAATACTAAAAGAATGTGTTTTTATATTATGTATGTTGACATTGACCTTGACTTTATAGTGTCACTTACATTTAAGTTCAAAACTTCTAAATTTAACCCACTCTAAATATAAATAAATTGATCAAGCTATCATAAAATCGTGTTTTGTTTTTTTTTGATATAAGGAAAAAAATGTTCTTTTAAAAAATTTCAAATATAGTAAATGATATGAAAAATTGTGATATTGGTGAATTTTTTTCATTTACTAGCTTCAAATTTATTTCATACAAAATATACAAGTGGTGGCAAAGACCAGACGAGTGCAACTTTGCTTGAACTGACAAAAGTCTTTCTCAGTAAGCTGAAATAAAGGAAAAGTTTTGATAGCCGAATATGTTTATTGCAATATTGTGTCAATTCCAACATGGTACTTGATTCTGGTAATAAATCTATGGATTTCTCTTTACAAAATGTAATATTCTTTACCAGAATATCCAGCGATACATCAACACACAACAATTTTCTTATTGCAGTGTGTTGATGTATCCCTGGATATTCTGGTCCATTATTATTGTGGACTTCATTTTTCACAGTGTCAATATTTATACTCTCTCGCTTCCTGTCTTCCTACTTCCGGCGACACCAATGGATAATTCTTGAGTTGTCTACTTTGCTCTGTTCTTTGTTATATTTTCATTTGTACTGTTGGTTGAGGAAGGCTTTATGCCGAAACGTCCTTGTTTTTTGTCCTGTTATCTTATTTCAAGCTTCCACATACCTCGTTTTACTATTTCATTCATTTAATAAGCTTGAAAGCACTCCTTTAATTTATATTAACTAAATTAAAGAACTTGTTAAATGCATTGTTGTATTTTGAATTTATCAACTATTCTCTGGGGAACAGCATCAAGATTTTATAGGTGACGTAAAGCTAAGGAAAATGTATACCCCAAGGGCTTCTTCTTCTTCTTTCGCTTCTTCGTCCCCAAGGAACGGCTAGCCGAACTTTATCAGCGTCTGTGAATCTTCTTAGGACATAGGCCGCCTACAATGGATATTGCAGGCATCTCGTTCCTGAGCCAATCTCTCTAGCTTCCCCCAAGTGTGGCCAAGTTTCTTGGTGTTTGCTTCCACTTCACGGCGCCAAGAGTTCCTCGGACTGCCTCTTTTCCGGTTTCCTTGAGAGTTTCCAAGGGCACAACCACTGTAATGAACTTAGTTCATGTCCGGCTGGTGCGGCGTTAAAGATGTTGTTGATAATTTGTATGCCTAATTGTGGCGCTTCCCACATTAAAGTTTAAAATGTCAACTTAAATTGTCTGAAAGAAATATTGAATTTAACTCTACCTAAAAATGATTATATTGATTTTCAGATAATAAAAAAAAATTCTGGGGAGAAGGATCCCAAGACCCCTCTACCGCTGAAGATTCATCTTTCTTTTCTTAATTATTCCATTAACTCATCTTTGACATAGGACCTCTACAAGAATTTTTTCCATTCATCTCGGTCCTGTACTTTTCTTTAGAGTTACGTCCATGTGTACTGTATTGTGTGTGTGCCTTACTCTAGATCACATCTCCATGTAATCTTTGACCTTCCTCTCTTTCTTTTTCCTTGTGGGTTCCATTATAAGGATTTTTTTGGAATGTTATATGAGAGGGACATATTCACATGTCTGTTTCTTAAGATGTCTTAACGTCACTTTTGAGATGGTGTCGGTGGGTCGTCGAGTTCGCACTCATAATACCCCCCCCCGGCACTCCCCCAAACGGGCCAAGGCCTCCCCCGAAGCACCAGACCGTGCGGAAGCGCGCCGAGAACTTCCCTCACTGGCCTGAGGGACGTCCGGCAAACCAGAGGGCGCTGTATTTAAAGCGTCCGTAGTCCGCTCTCCTATGGGTCAGGACGGCTTTACTTCCTCTCTGGAGAGGTGGTGTTGCGTTACCACTCCCCACCACCCAGGGAGCTGTCTGGTGTGGACGTAGCGGGGACGAAACGGTCACCTAGGGGCGGCTTTCTAAGGGCCGCGTCTTTTTAATCATCGACAAGGGTTTGGACGGCCACCCATTTCCTCATACCCATCAACGGCAACAAGTAATCATGTTAGCGCTCAACTTCCGTTGCGTGGGAAGTCATGCGTTTTGCCTGGGTTCTTTTAGCTTCAGGAGGAAAACTCCCCCCTACTAGTCGGGCACGCCACGAAGGGGCAAGATCCCGTGTAACACCAACGAGAGGCTTGTGGTGCTGGGCTAGGATTTTCCAGAGGTCCACCCTAACCCACCCGATGATGTCTTAACCAATAGGCTCATTGTATGTCCCATCTAGTAATTGTTTTTTGGTGATGATGGTCATTTGATGTTCAGGATCTTTCTATGTTCTGTGTTTATAAACGTCTGTACATTCTGTTTAATTCTCGCTATTGTTTTTCAAGTTTCGAATCCATAGAATTGGACTGTTTTCAAGTTTGTGTTCAAAATTCTGACTTTTGTTTGAAGCGTAAGCTCCTTCTAATCAATATTTTCCTTAATAAAACAAATGCCCTACCTAGCCCTTCCAATTATAACCTTGACATCCTTTTTGGATCCACAATTTAAACCAATTGTGCAGCCTAAGTACGTGAAGGTCTTTTTTTTTCAAGTACATTTTCTGCCAGAGAAATATGCTCTTCACTGGCCGAGTTTACATTTATAATCTTTGTCTTGATTTTATTTATATTATTAAAAGTTAAATTCACCGGCACCTTAGATTTCTAGCGTACAGCCCATTGAAAAAGATCTATAAATTTGGTGACAAGAGATACACTGCCTAAAGACGTAGCTACTATTAGGGCCACCATAAGGGCCAAATATTTTGCCATTCTCCCTTTCACAATAAAAACTGCGCAGTTGTGAGAAAATACTGCAACTACATGTAAAGAAAAAATGAAACCAGGGAGTACGACCTCATCCCCCTCCTTTCTGCTCAACTGGAATGACATGGCTATAGCGTTCTGCTTGAGAGGACATGATTCATTATTACCCCCTCCCTTCCCTGAAAATCGGAAACTAATTATTTTCAACCATTACACACCATCATAGCCCATTTTGATTTTCCCGCAATAAGTTTGGCGCCCCGGAAGGTATTTCCCATTCGTCACCTTTTGCTTCGCCTCTGGCCCCTGCCCACTGGCATTGCCCCCCCCCCCTCAACCGAAAATCCCCCGTTCGAGCAAAATGACCCAAAGAAACACCAGTGAGCGTAAAACAAGAAAAGGCCCCTGCCCACTGGAATTGCCCCCCCCCCTCAACCGAAAATCCCCCGTTCGAGCAAAATGACCCAAAGAAACACCAGTGAGCGTAAAACAAGAAAACACTGTTGAAGAAAAGTCCAAAAAAAAAAAATTAACACATCAAGAACTTTAAAAAAACACCAAAATTTAAAAAAAAAAAGAGATTGTAGATTTGTAGAAGATTTTTTTTTTGAAATATCTATTCCAAACAGATATGTGGATATGATTAATATTATGTCATTTGTGTACAATGGTTTTATGAACTCTCCGATTGGCCATGCGTCGCCATTGGATTCAAGTGACGGACAAAATATAGTAAGTAAAATAACATATATAAGTATTCAAACTAATGATGTTGTAAATGTTCTTACTTTTATTTCTTCTTTATGTTGTTCTATGTTTGTACACTGACACAGATTTTATGTAAATGTAAAGCAAAGATTATCACTTCATACGTATATATATTTTTTAATATTACACTAACACATACATACATTAACACAGGCACACACTCATGAACATGCTAAATATTTTCGTCAATCACCCCCACCCACCCCAGTGAATTGAGCCAAATTCAACATCCTAGACAAGGAAGTAAACCTCTGTGCGTGGGTCATGCCAGTAATGGTATTTGTGTTTAAATAAGTGATTTAACCATGGACATTACGAATATATCAGTTGAAAACTTGATTGAACGTTGTTGACGAATAATAATGATAATAATAATTATAACAGATGTCTATTACTTCAATGACAGCTTCAATATTCTTTAAATCTTCAGCCAATCAAATTATCGAAAGCCATTGTTTTTTTTAAAAAAAGATTATATTTGTACTATCAGTTTTATTTTAGTTTTCATTAGACAACCCCCAAAAAAACAAGTCTTTTCATATGAATCTTTATGAAATGTAATATCGACTAATGGGGTTGGGTCTGAATTATCATATGAATCCTTTATGAAATGTAATATCCACTAGTTGGATTGGGTCTGAATTATCATATAAATCCTTTATGAAATGTAATATCGACTAATGGGGTTGGGTCTGAATTTTCATATAAATCCTTTATGAAATGTAATATCGAATAATTTGGTCGGGTCTGAATTTTCATATAAATCCTTTATGAAATGTAATATCGACTAATGGGGTTGGGTCTGAACAAATGAACGAAACATGCACACCATTAGCACATTTTATAAGAATCCAAACCCCCCCCCCCCTTTTTCCTTTTTTTTTAACGCCAAAATGCGGGCAACCGCATATAGAAATGTAATATCGACTAATGGGGTTGGGTCTGAACAAATGAACGAAACAAGCACACCATTAGCACATTTTATAAGAATCCAAACCCCCCCCCCCCCTTTTTCCTTTTTTTTTAACGCCAAAATGCGGGCAACCGCATATCTTTTCTCGCCCTTTAACTACATTAAAATTCTAATATACCACCAACTTTTATACCGCAGATTTCATTTGTATTATTACTAAATTAAATCTTATTAAATGTAATTGGTACTATTTTGGGTCTCGTATTTTTGTTAATGTATTGCGCTATGGTATCGTCCTTTGTTAGGCACTGTTTGAACGAGGCATAAAATTAAAACAGGAGATTAATTTCTCAATATAGATGGAAGCGCGTAATAGTCACGGATAAAAAAAAAATTGCTACCAACTCCGCCTGCTGGACAGAGTTTTAAGTTATTTTATTAACATTCGACTCACCCACCATACTAATTCTAAGAGCGTGTCTGATTAAAGACTCGAAATAATTTTTCAAGTGCAGTTTACTTGCCAACGTTTTTTTTTTCGCATACTGTTAGTAACACGACGACGGTTGTATATGACATTTCAATTAACTTTATGAAATCTTTGTACATCTCTCTTAACTTTACAGCTCTTATGTCTGCGAAATCTATACATTTTTATGATTTAGCTGTCAAATTACAAGCAAAAGTCGTATCCACTTCTGCCCATCATAAAACCACAGACAATTACAGCTTATTCCTATGCTCAGTGTGACGATTTATTTATTTTGTAGGGATTATCCAGATTATTGGCGCTATAACGGATACAAAAATATAAACCGCACTGACACAATGAAACCATTTGCTAGTCACAATGAGGACATCAAAATGGCGCCATATGTTAGTGACAATGAGGACATCAATGTGGCACTGTTGTTATTGGCCATAAGGAAATCTATTTGGTGTCATTTGATATGGCTTTCTTTATTTTACGAACTAGATTTTCCAAAGTTATATTTCGAAACATTTGGAATTTACAATGTCTACATGTCCATGCTATTGCCTTCCAAACAACAGCAAGGATATCACACCATAGCAATATTTTTGCCATTTTAAATACATCAGATATATCATTTTGTCCAAAATTGAATTACTTTAAATAAAAGGTTATAGGAAAATATTAAATTAATAAAATATTTAACTCTCGTATTCCACAACTAAATATCAATTTCCTAAATACTTGTATTTTCTTATACGCTTTATATTTTTATCATTACAAAATTGTTATTTCTCTTTAACACCTTTCCATTTCTCATAGAAACAAACTCTCAGAGATTGGGAGGACAGGGGAATGCCACGACCAAAAATGAACATCGGCATTGCCGCCTTTGGGTATAGACTGTCCACAAAATCTTCCAGTGACATAAAGATTGGTGAAAGTATTGTAATAGGCACCGCTCTAACATCTAATAGTAGAGGACAAGGCTTTTTAACATATTATCAGGTAAGCTACACTATTTTATATTTATTGGTCTTTATTTAAAGCTTTGATTTCACATGTATTAAATAGTTGTTTTTTTTGTGTGTTTTGTTTCTGTGGTTAATTTTTCAATGCTCAGTTCACATGATCAAAATAACGTCAAATTTCTTTTTGAACGCAATATGTTGTAACAGAAAATACTGAGTACAGAAATTAAACTTTGAGAATTGGACAAAATTCTGAAGAAAATTTTAATCGCTTGAACTGAGCGTATGGCAATACCTCGCTAGGTTATATAATTCCTAGACAGAATTAGTGCATAGCTAATTCTAGCGAACAACTTAGCGATTCTAAATTTTTGACTAGCACCTATATTTCATTTATAAATTATTGCACGGTAAAATAAGTTGAAAATCACTAAATGAAATTTCGCACCTAGAAAGGAGAAACATTCGAGAAGACGTGACTATAAGTATTGCCGTATCGTGACGATTTTGTTACTCGATTAATAAAGTTAGAGGAACGAGAAACATTAACGTAAGTTGTTGTTTGTTGTTTTTTCCTCGCCACCTTTATTTAACAGTTCTTTATTTTATAAAGGGTATTAAAAATAAAATTTACATTGATCTCAAAGAGTTTCTTAACAATATCCCAAGTATGTTTTCTTTAATCTCACACATGTCAGAGTCTGATGGAATTAATCTGTTTTTCTTTTTTATTTTTTTAAAATGTAAGAATTGTATAATAATATCAAAAATCAATTTAATATTTAATTTCAACATTGAAGACTTTTAAGTTTTCTTAATGTGAGAGTACACTCTAAGAAATATATCATATAAGTATCCCCCTCAAAGGTTAACTTAGAGGAAATTAGCTACCAGTATTTTATCGTATAAAGTTGGGCTACAGGACAAGTTATCGTTACAGGCTAATTGTGATTTACCAATAACAAGCTGCTTTATTTCAGGATACCGTTAACGATATCAAACGATAAATTACAGTTATTTTTTTTATTAATTATCAAACATGATACAAAATAAAATTAGAATTATATTACAAAAGTAATCGAAAGCATTCTCTCAGATGGGATGCTCTGAGTACGCTTACATTATATATACAAGTTAAGAAATTAATCAATGTTGATGATAGGTAATGCATGAAAGTAAAATAATTACTGTTTCAATCTAACAACCCAAGTTACCAGAATAACGGTAATTCTCCACTTCTTAAGTACAGTGACGGTATATATGATAAATCATTTAAATCTATATCCCCTTTTCAAGCAGTATGATCTTAAAATGTAATGAGAAAAAATCCCCAATGTAGAATTTAAATTAAAAAATCACTTTAACATAACTAAAAACAAAAAATGAATTATAATATTAACTCAAATGAAATTAAACAATAAATTTATTTTAAAAAATCGCTTTTAAATCTTTACCTTGATAGGTCTTGATGCAAGTTTAATACGCATCGTAATAGCATATGCGTCATCAAATATCTACATATATAACTTTTCTACAGAACAATAAGGCATTGAAATTTCATTATTAACTCATATGCTAAATTTTTAAATGTATCGTAAAAGATAAATATTGTTATGTTAAGTTTAAATAAATTATGAATGGGTTTTAATTTAGGATTTTAAAAAGCCATTTATTGTAATCTATCTATATATATATATATAAACATGAATGTGTGTAAGTATATTTGAATGTCTCGTATTCGCTCCTACACCATTCATACGATTGCGTCAAAACTTTAGTGAGTTGTTGTCCACATAACCGGCCATTTAACTGAGTCATTACAACCCTTAAAAAAATGTTCCGTTTTCAGCCGTTGGCCCTTAATCCTTTTTTTTCCTTAAATGAGCTTTATAATTTTTTTTTTCCATATGCCCTCCTACTCCATTTATCCGATAAAACTTTGGTTAGATGTTGCAAGCATGCCCGTAAACGTTTCTAAGTTATTACAACCGTTTCAAAATATTAAGATTTGAGCCAGGGGCCCTATGTTCGTTTTTCCTTATAGAACTATATAAATATAACTTCAAACCGTGTGCGCTCCTACACCATTAATGCGATTGCATTAAAACTTTGATGAGCTTTTGTCCATAAAATCGCACATTTTCTTGGTTATTTAAAGACTTTAAAGATATTCCGTATTTGGCCGTTGGCCCTTAATTCGATTTTTTCTAATATGAGCTTTTAAAAAATAATTTCCGTATGCGCTCATACGCAATTTATCCGATTGCAAAAAATTTGGTGAGATTTGCGAGCACGGCCGCAAAGGTTTCTAAATTTTTACCATTATTTTAAAATATTCCGTTTTGAGCCAGGGGCCCTATGTTCGTTTTTTTTTCTTATATGAACTATATAAATATATTTTCAAAGCGAATGCGCTTTGAAAAAAAAAAAAAATTCCATATGCGCTCCTGTACTATTTTTTAGAATGCAATAAAACTTTAGTGAGATGTTGTGCAATTGCCCACAAAGTTTCTTAAATTATTAAAACCGTTTTAAAATATTCAGTTTTGATCCAGGGGCCCTATGTTCGTTTGTTTATATTATAAATATAATTTTAAACCGTGTGCGCTCCTACACCATTCAAGCGATTGTGATAAATTTGAGGTGATTTGTTGTCCACAAGCTTGAACATTTTTCTAAGTCATTAATACCCTTCTAAAATATTACGTTTTCGGCAAGTGGCCCCAAATTCTTTTTTTCCCCTTATACAAGCTTCTTTAAAAAAAACTTATTCCGTATGCACTCCTCTACCGAGGTTTTCATGCAAAAAGATGGGAGATTCTAACGTGTGAACATTATTTACGTTGGGAATGTTGTAAATTAATTAAATCAAATACAAACAGCTATTTTTCATTTTGTGTGTGACCTAACAAGTTGTGTTAATTGTGAAATATCATTACTATTAACAGAGATCACATGCATTTTTAATACTAATCACAAAGCAATAATTTCGCTATCAAATCAATTATGCCAGCCAAACGAAGAGCTAATGGTTTTTCTACACCTAAAGCACGAAAGAAGAAACCATCAAAAGCATCGGAAACATTTGAACAATGAGAAGCAAGACTGCAAACCGTTCGAGTATGCAATGCTCAAACACGTTCATCTTAAACATTCGAGCAAAGATAAGCATGACAGGTAACCGCTCAAGTACGCATTGCTCAAACCTGTCCATCTAAAACAGTCGATCAACTGGAATCAAGACGCGAAACCACACGAGTAAGCAATGCTGAAACCCTTTTGAATGAAACAGTCGAGCAGCGAGAAACAAGACAACATTCAAAAGGAGTACGCACTGCTCGATCCAGACGAACACTGCACGCTGAATTAAATCTTAGTGCATTCTATTACGATACTAATTATGATTACAGTCTTCATCCAAGTATGGTTATTGTAAAAAGAAATCAATTATGCGTGTATTGCAGTGCCCTCAAATTTAAGAATGAAACACCGGGAATTTGCTGCGCGGGGGGGGGGGAGTGAAATTGCAAGAATTACATTCACCACCGGAACCATTTTCAACGTTGGTTTCAGGTGATACACGCTAATCGAAACATTTCTTGGCAAACATACTCAAGTACAATTCATGTTTCCAAATGGCATCGTTCGGTGCAACAAATATCGTGCGCAAGAATTATATCCCATAATTTAAGGTGCAAGGCTAAAAATATAAAGGTTAAAAGATTTCCTAAAAAATTTCTTTGTTTCGTTCCATTTACTTCTTTTTAATTCATACTTATTTTTAAAAATGTCAGTGTTGCGATCCATTTACTTCTTTTTAATTCATACTTATTTTTAAAAATGTCAGTGTTTTGATTCATTTACATAATAATAATTTTTAAAAAAAAACATATTTTTTTTCTTCTCTTTTTATCTTAAGGAATGCTACTTATAAGATTATAATTCACAACATACAAATCGTCTTATGAAACGTGTAAATATATTATGATAATTTGAACAAAATCATTATCAGTTAACGTTGTTTACAGGTATGTCTCTTGCTGAAACAAGGCGGCAGTGTTACTGGGGCTCCTTTGCTCACGCCCCATATCATATAAAAGATAACTACTTTTTGAGTTATCAAAATGAGCAGAGTATTAAGGACAAGGTAATAAGACAATCATATTTTTTTATAGACTCGATTGCACTAGATCTAATCATACAATGCTGGTCTTATAGAATGGATATGTTTTTATCTTATCATAAAATGCTGATCATTAAAGAAAACTTTTTAAAAAAAGTTTCCAATAATAAAAAAAAAATCGGTCAAATAATACAAATATCATTATACGGTCCATTCCCATGGAATGGTTTACGCTTCTGACATATTTGTTTCAAAATATTGACTAAGAGTTACATTGTGATCTAAGCCCTCTTTAGTTCTTAATTACAAATAATGCGTAATTTCGTGTTTTGCGTTGTACGCTGTAGAAGGCATTCAGATGAAACCTCCTTTATTTCAGCTGAATTTTCTTCAAGCTTCAACAAATTATGTTCCATTATTTATTGACCTACTTCTACAAAAGTTAGCGGTCATTTCAGTTTTCTATCTTAGATATTTTTTTTTTGTAAATAATAAATTTCGTTTCTAGCAATCGGACATGTTCGTGATGACAAAATCTTTTTCTGTATCAAAGTTTTACAATGGCTCCTCGCCTCGTCTCTTCGATACACTAATGATATAAATCTGATACGTTATATATAAATTAATGATATAGGTCTGGTAAGTTATATTAATTATTTATATAGTTATTATACGTTATATATAAATTAATTATATAGATATAATACTATATAAATAAAATAAAACTGCATACCGTGGTTACCCCGTAGTTAGATTTTGCCTTCCAGATGCGAAGCTCAGAGTTTCTGATAGAGACCTACGAAGCAATCTTTTTTTTTTAAAGTAAACCCCGCTTCACTCATTCCCAGTGCTATCCACTCCCCACTCTATCATATTATCAAAATCATGTTATTTTTAGTTCATTTGAAGCTTCGGTTACATAGGACGAGTTGGATGTAAAAAAAACCAAAAAAATATATTTTTAATTTTGTTTGATTGCATATTCACTGAAATTATATCTGACACTTTAATTTGCGTTTAACTTACCCCTGCCGTCGATATAAAAACAACGAAAGTCTCTCGAAACCATACATTTTATGATAACCTTATGATGAAATGTTAACAACTTGTGTTTCCTTGAAATTGCCGCTTTCTACACCTAACTATATTACTGTTGTAATGGGGACGCACCTCAGTATTATACATTATGCCATTTACATGTACGTTCATGATCAAATCAAATCCAAAATCTAACACCACTTCTAAAAAATAATTTTTAAATAAAAAAATTAAAAAAAAAAAAAATTGATATTTCTAGGTCCTTAATAGGCTCTGAAGCTCTAGGATTTTAGGTTCATCCAGCACTAATTGAATTTTAATCAGTGATGGGGTAGACACACATAAAATTGAGAGAACCGATGAACTCCAAGCGAAATTGTGAGAATGGGTTCTGAGAACTGGCTAATTTTGCCCCTCTCTAGTAAAATTATGATATTTTGAATTTAAGAGATTCATTTTGAAGCTTACCTGGAATTAAAATGTATATAAATCTAAACGAAATCGGAGGGAAGTCAAAGTTTTGGTCGTCTGAAAACAAATAAACGGAGATGTTTTAAAGTGACCAGAATTTCTTTTTTTTTTTTTTTTTTCTAGAAAAATTGAATTTTTTTGTAAACTTAAGATATATATACAATATTTACGCTTAATGTAATGCTATTTTTTTTTTAAATCAGTCAAAAGTAATATCCTGTCATCCCGAGACAACAACCTGTCAAATGCATATCTATATTGACTACCTCTCTATCTTTAGTCTGATGGATTTCATCATTACTATTTTCTTTCCTTACCAAATCTCTTTTAAACTTTTCTTAATTAAACAAAAATCATGTATGAAATTTAGACATATATTTTAAAATAAGAATGTCAACAATAACAATCGCTCACAATCCATGGCAAACATAATTCGAAGTTTCTTTTAATCCTCAAAATTGCTTATACTTTCTTTGCCATGGTTTCAAATGATGCCACTTATAAATGCCCAAAAGATTATCAGCCTCTTGGCAGGCTCTCCACCGCCTTTGCTACATCAGTTCTAATATGACTTTGAATATATTTACGGATAATTTACTATTTTTACACAAACTGATGATTTTCCCTTTTTTTTAGACATTGATTTTCCAAATTTTAGTACTTTAAGAATTAGACCATGATAATTTTACCTTTTTTAAGAAAGAATTTTAAAAAAATCTGAAAGGTATTATATGAAATTGTAAAGATCGTATTCATTTTTAAAGGTTCTATTTGTTCGTGAAAATAACTACGGGGGCGTTATCCTTCGGGATCTGTTGGAAGATGATTACCTTGGGCTGAACTGCGGCAATGGAACATATCCGTTGTTGAGAGCCATGAAAAAGCAATGCACAACAAGAGACTACTGAAATACTGAAATAAAAATATAATGCATCCCCCCAATATCTCTTATTGTGATTGACGTTGTTGATTTATTTTAAAGCAACTTGATTGACACATTAACGTTTATATTTATATATTATTGATTTGAGGAAATGCAAATAAAATAATAACAACTTAACAGGTTTTAGACTGTGGTAAATAAAGTAGTGTATTTCAAAATATATTTTATTCCCTTTACCAACACTTTTAACTTTTTTAGACAAACATCTTTACGTCCGTTTCATCATCTCATAACCTTTAAATACAATATAATCTTCCGTAACATCTTAAGCCCAATTTCAACTTCGACTGTTAATGTCTATTGTCATATATATAAAGTTAACTTTATATCCTTAAGACCTCAATCCATACGTCTCTCCTTAGCATCTTAAACCCCTAATTCACACACCTCCCATTACCATCTTAAGCCCCTAATCACACACCCCCTTTACCATCTTAAGCTCATAATCCACATATCTCCCCTAACATCTGAAGCCTCAATCCCCACACATCTCCTACCAACTTAAGCTCCAATTAATACACTTCCCCTACTATCTTAAGCTCCCAATCCACACCTCCCTTACCATCTTAAGCCCCCAATGCACACAATTTAACAATCATCTTAAGCCGTCAATCCACAAACCTCCCTTAACATTTTCAGCCCCCAATCCACACCCCTCCCCTTACAATATTAAGCCCCCAATCCACACATTTCCCCTTAAAATATTAAGCCCCCAATCTACACACCTCCCCTTACAATATTAAGCCCCCAATCCACACGCCTCCCCACTATCTTCTGCCGCCAATCCACACAACTCCCCTACAATCTTTAGCCTCCAAACCACACAATTCCACTACCATCTTTAGCCTCAAATCCACACACCTTACCTATCATCTCAGCCCCCAATCCACATATCTCCCTTAAAATTTCAGCCTCCATGCACACACCTCCCCCTAAAATCTTACGCCCCCAATCAAAACACAACTACTTTCCATATTAAGCTCTCCTTGCTAATAGCTCACTTTACCATTATCACTCCCAATCAAAACAACTCAAATTATATATTTTACCTCCTAAAACATTGATATCTTTACGCCTAAAAGAAACACCATCGATTACCATGTTCTATTAACTCCCACCTTCTTCACACCAAACGATCCCTATCAACACACCTTAACTTAATAACATAAGGCAGGAGTTCAAACACAAACCTTCATCAAATAAACACACCTTAACTTAATAACATGAGCCAGGAATCTAAACACAAACCTTCATCATATCAAATCACCTTAACTTAATAACATAAGGCAGGAGTTCAAACACAAACCTTCATCATATAAACACACCTTAACTTAATAACATGAGGCAGGAGTTCAAACACAAACCTTCATCAAATAAACACACCTTAACTTAATAACATAAGCCATGAATCAAAACACAAACCTTCATCATATAAACACACCTTAACTTAATAACATAAGCCAGGAGTACAAACACAAACCTTCATCATATAAACACACCTTAACTTAATAACATAAGCCAGGAATCCAAACACAAACCTTCATCATATCAACACACCTTAACTTAATAACATAAGGCAGGAGTTCAAACACAAACCTTCATCAAATAAACACACCTTAACTTAATAACATAAGCCATGAATCAAAACACAAACCTTCATCATATAAACACACCTTAACTTAATAACATAAGCCAGGAGTACAAACACAAACCTTCATCATATAAACACACCTTAACTTAATAACATAAGCCAGGAATCCAAACACAAACCTTCATCATATCAACACACCTTAACTTAATAACATAAGGCAGGAGTTCAAACACAAACCTTCATCAAATAAACACACCTTAACTTAATAACATAAGCCAGGAGTACAAACACAAACCTTCATCATATAAACACACCTTAACTTAATTTGTATTCGGTCCTTAGGTTTGTGTTTGGAAGTAGTATAGTTGTGTGGTTAACTTAATAACATAAGGCAGGAGTTCAAACACAAACCTTCATCAAATAAACACACCTTAACTTAATAACATAAGCCATGAATCAAAACACAAACCTTCATCATATAAACACACCTTAACTTAATAACATAAGCCAGGAGTACAAACACAAACCTTCATCATATAAACACACCTTAACTTAATAACATAAGCCAGGAATCCAAACACAAACCTTCATCATATCAACACACCTTAACTTAATAACATAAGGCAGGAGTTCAAACACAAACCTTCATCAAATAAACACACCTTAACTTAATAACATAAGCCAGGAGTACAAACACAAACCTTCATCATATAAACACACCTTAACTTAATAACATGAGCCAGGAATCTAAACACAAACCTTCATCATATCAACACACCTTAACTTAATAACATAAGGCAGGAGTTCAAACACAAACCTTCATCAAATAAACACACCTTAACTTAATAACATAAGCCATGACTCAAAACACAAACCTTCATCATATAAACACACCTTAACTTAATAACATAAGCTAGGAGTACAAACACAAACCTTCATCATATAAACACACCTTAACTTAATAACATAAGCCAGGAATCCAAACACAAACCTTCATCATATCAACACACCTTAACTTAATAACATAAGCCATGAATCCAAACACAAACCTTCATCATATAAACACACCTTAAATTAATAACATAAGCCAGGAGTACAAACACAAACCTTCATCATATCAACACACCTTAAATTAATAACATAAGCCAGGAGTACAAACACAAACCTTCATCATATAAACACACCTTAACTTAATAACATAAGCCAGGAATCTAAACACAAACCTTCATTATATAAACACCTTAACTTAATAACATAAGCCATGAATCCAAACACGAACCTTCATCATATCAACACACCTTAACTTAATAACATAAGCCAGGAGTACAAACACAAACCTTCATCATATCAACACACCTTAACTTAATAACATAAGCCAGGAGTACAAACACAAACCTTCATCATAAAAACACAACTTAACTTAATAAGATAAGCCAGGAATCTAAACACAAACCTTCATCATATAAACACATCTTCACTTAATAACATAAGCCAGGAGTACAAACACAAACCTTCATCATAACAACACAACTTAAGTTAATAACATAAGCCATGAATCAAAACACAAACCTTCATCATATCAACACACCTTAACTTAATAACATAAGCCAGGAGTACAAACACAAACCTTCATCATATCAACACACCTTAACTTAATAATATAAGCCAGGAGTACAAACACAAACCTTCATCATATAAACACACCTTAACTTAATAACATAAGCCAGGAATCCAAACACAAACCTTCATCATATCAAAAAAACCTTAACTTAATAACATAAGCCAGGAGAACAAACACAAACCTTCATCATATCAACACACCTTAACTTAATAACATAAGCCAGGAGTACAAACACAAACCTTCATCATAAAAATACAACTTAACTTAATAAGATAAGCCAGGAATCTAAACACAAACCTTCATCATATAAACACATCTTAACTTAATAACATAAGCCAGGAGTACAAACACAAACCTTCATCATAACAACACAACTTAAGTTAATAACATAAGCCATGAATCAAAACACAAACCTTCATCATATCAACACACCTTAACTTAATAACATAAGCCAGGAGTACAAACACAAACCTTCATCATATCAACACACCTTAACTTAATAATATAAGCCAGGAGTACAAACACAAACCTTCATCATATAAACACACCTTAACTTAATAACATAAGCCAGGAATCCAAACACAAACCTTCATCATATCAAAAAAACCTTAACTTAATAACATAAGCCAGGAGTACAAAAAAAAACTTCATCATATCAACACACCTTAACTAAATAACATAAGCCAGGAGTACAAACACAAACCTTCATCATATCAACACAACTTAACTAAATAACATAAGCCAGGAGTACAAACACAAACCTTCATCATATCAACACACCTTAACTTAATAACATAAGCCAGGAGTACAAACACTAACCTTCATCATATAAACACACCTTAACTTAATAACATAAGACAGGAATCCAAACACAAACCTTCATCATATAAACACACCTTAACTTAATAACATAAGCCCTGAATCCAAACACAAACCTTCATCATATCAACACACCTTAACTTAATAACATAAGCCAGGAGTACAAAAACAAACCTTCATCATATCAACACACCTTAACTAAATAACATAAGCAAGGAGTACAAACACAAACCTTCATCATATCAACACATCTTAAAATAATAACATAAGCCAGGAGTACAAACAGAAACCTTCATCATATAAACACACCTTAACTTAATAACATAAGCAAGGAATCCAAACACAAACCTTCATCATATAAACACACCTTAACTTAATAACATAAGCCATGAATCCAAACACGAACCTTCATCATATCAAAAAAACCTTAACTTAATAACATAAGCCAGGAGTACAAAAAAAAAAAACTTCATCATATCAACACACCTTAACTAAATAACATAAGCCAGGAGTACAAACACAAACCTTCATCATATCAACACAACTTAACTAAATAACATAAGCCAGGTATCCAAATACAAACCTTCATCATATAAACACACCTTAACTTAATAACATAAGCCAGGAATCTAAACACAAACCTTCATCATATCAACACACCTTAACTTAATAACATAAGCCAGGAGTACAAACACAAACCTTCATCATATCAACACACCTTAACTAAATAACATAAGCCAGGAGTACAAACACAAACCTTCATTATATCAATACACCTTAACTAAATAACATAAGCAAGGAATCCAAACACAAATCTTCATCATATAAACACACCTTAACTTAATAACATAACCCATGATTCCAAACACAAACCTTCATCATATCAACACACCTTAATTTATTAACATAAGCCAGGAGTACAAACACAAACCTTCATCATATAAACACACCTTAACTTAATAACATAAGCTAGGAGTA